TCGTTTGTGCGTAGACACGAGGAAATCCAGGCCGCCGGCCGCCGGAAGGTTGGTGGCGACTAACTCGACTCCCTGCCTCTCCACTGACCCGCTCCCAACCCTTTCCCCGCCGACCAGCGCACATAATCAACATCAAGGTGATAGGGGATTAGGAGCCCGGAAGCCACAGCGCTGATGTAAGAGCGTAATCGGGATGTTGGCTTTCAAGTAGACTTCTCCCACATTGTCTGTCGTTGACCGTGGTGGGGTCCGCTCGGCGGCGCCGTTCAAACTATTGTGACAAGCGCACACGTCTAGGCCTTGACATCTTCAACTCTACCGCCTTCTTGGTCGATTGGGCTTGGCCCCGAGAGAGCTGCATGTTTACTGATGATTGTCGCATAACGAGCTGCAGTTGGTACCCTCAAGGCCTTGAAAAGCAAGGTCGGCCGTATCGCAAAATCAGCAGTGTTATGTCGGCTGGTTCGGCGTAGCCTAGCGATGACCACGTCATGAGCGTGCTGTCCGTCAACTTTGGATGTGAGGGCAGATGGAAACCCACACACGAACGCTGCACGCAGCCTAGCCGCTGAGGGGGGGTGTTGTCTGACGGTGAGGAGCGCTGTGACGCGTTCTCCCCTCAGTGTTGATGGGCTGGAGTTGGGGTCAAGCCCGCTGCCTCGTTGTCCATTTCCCGCTGCGTTGGGCCGACCGACGGGGGGGGGGGGGGGCGCGGCTTGTCATCAGTTGGGTCAGCCGTAGCATGGGGCTTTGTCTCGACCCGCTGCTGAACGAGGCTCGCAGCGACGAGAGAGAGAGAGAGAGAGAGGGAATACATGTACACTACAACTACAGCCTGCCTGCCGAAAATGCATTGCCGAATTTCACGTCCTCCCTTTGATTTGAAGCAGGGCGGGGACGAAGTGGGCATGCATCGATGGAACTCATCAGCCAACCTTTTTTTTTTCTTTCCCGCTTTCCCAGCGATGCCGCAAGAGTCATGCGTGCGATGCGTGGGACGGGTTGCGAGGTGTCGTCCAAAAATGCAGCCGACGGGGGTTGGGGGTCGAGGCGTGCCCCCGTCCGCCCAAGGCCAACGGAACGTTGTCGATCCCTGTCCCATGGCAGGGTACCTCGCAGGGCGGCCAGTGCCTGCGATTCGGGTTCCGGGTTTTACCACAGCTTGCGTGCCGCCCTGATTGGGACTAGCGTACTGATCACACCTGCTCAGGCTCAGCTCAGCCACACCTCAGTCAAAGTCTCAAAAGCGACACTTTGTGCACCGAGTGTGCACAACGGACAAGTCAAGTAACCACCCCAAAACGGTGTGCATCATCTACCGTTTCAAGATGAACATCACAGAGCCAGGCGCAGCAGAGCACCGAGCGAGCGCAGGAACCAATATCGCAATAGAATGAGTATTTGCGTTCAGGACGCATCGCAACTATCACGGACAAAAAGGCACGGTAGGGCCGTACAGACAAGCAATTGGCCCCAAGGTGGCCGTCAAGGTAGATGGTAGATATCCACACTACTTTGGAGTCATGAAATGACTTGGGTGTCCAACACACTTTGCGCACGATCTACGCAGAGGCTCGAGTACATCCTTCCTTCGGCGCAATCAGGAGCGCCGGATCATGGCCTCGCGCTCGGGACCGGTGCCGATGTACTTGATCTACGGAACGTTAGCAACTGCGGGTTTGGTCAGTAGATGCGCCCACAAACCTCGACTCCCACAAATTTCTCGATGTACTGCTAGAGGTCAGCGCCATTGTTCGCTATACGAGCCCGGTTCGATTGCCTACCTCGACGTAGTCGCGAGCCTTCTTGGGCAGATCGACGTAGGTCTTCGCGTTCGTAGTCGGTGTCTGCCACCCCGGCATCTCGTGGTACACCACCTCAGCTCGTTCCAAGATGTCAAGATCCGCAGGGTAAGAGTCCAGTTCCTGTCCAGACGGTCAGCGTCACAATCGTCTAGATGATCTCTTTGACATCACTTACCTGTCCGTCGACCTTGTAAGCGATCGCGATCTTGATCGTTTCGAAAGTGTCCAAAACGTCGAGCTATGAAGTGTTAGAGTATTCACATGCATATCGGAAGCATAACAGGCCTACCTTTGTCAGATTCAGGCTGGTGTAGTAGTTGATGGAGTTGCTGTACTTGACAACAACAAGGTCTGTTTGCACTTGTCAGTTGCGCACCCAATCCTGTCAATCCCTGAGG